GGGGGGGGGGGGGGTTCGTTTATACAAAATTGAGAACCCTTTGGCCATTGATGTTCCAGACCAAATTCTGTGATAAACGAAAAAGTTGACGAACGACAATTAAGCTCTAAAATGCAATACATAAGATTCAGACGATACTATTCGATTGCAGCGTCGTGTAAATGGTTTTCTTTCATTCCCAATATTTCTTTTCTTTTTTAAAATTCAACGTCCTTGTACCTAAAAAGGTCTTATACGGAGGTGTGACGATGGATAGACTACAGAACCGGATTAAGAAAATTATGAGTGGTATATTCGGTGATACAGATCAATTCTCTTTTATAGGACATTTCAACAAATGATGAAAGACATACTGCAATTTTTGCTGCAGTTTGATTTTCGCCTATTTCGCCCTCCGTAGCTTTTGGGGGAACGGCGAGATCCTAACTCGGCGATAACTTCCCGGTTTACAGTAGTATTGTTGCTATATTAATATTATTCATCTTCTCATTATTCTTCTGCTATAACTTAATGGTAACAGATTTGTTTATTATATCTCAGATAAATTGTAGATCATAATCAGAAGAAGTACTAATTTTCAATTAGTTTTTAAAACAATTATATTGTCATGACGTGATATTTGAAAGACGAACGTAACACACAAACAGGTAATCGCACTTTTAAACTTTGGTAATCTATACCAAACACAAACAATGAATAACACTGCATCATACAGCTATTGCGTGCTTTTAGGTACCATTGGTTGTGTTAGGGTAAAAAATGTTGGAAATCCAAACGACTGTTGAAATAGTAATTACGTATCGATGAAGCAATCAGTTGCATCTTTTGAGATAGTATGTAGTTCAACAACTGTTTTCGTGGAAAGTCTGTGTCAAACGACAACATTTGGGTTTTTCATGCGCTAGTTTTGGTTACGAATTTCTAAGAACTACTCAAGTTGTACTGGGTCTAGAGTCAGAACAGTTGATCTGTAACATGCCGAGATGATTACCCATTCAGTCTGATATAGGTCTCAGATGTCAAATGTTTTAAAACTTTCAGTATTCTTAAACCTGAATATTTGAAAAAAACTATCAAAAGCAAAACATCATATTTTGCCAAGATGTCATGAACGCGAATGCATATGTTTTTCTCATGTTAGGTGAATTTTCTGTTACTGTTATCATGCTGCAATATGAGATTCCTTGTCATCTCATGATCACAGTCCTAAATAGTAATATACCATACTGTTTCATTGTGTCTTATTTTGATTCATCCCGTAGTTAACATTGCAGAGAAACTTGCATTATATCTGCTATAGTCTTTTTAATCTTAAAAAAAACGATAACCTCTTTCAGGTTTACTACAATAATTTTGAGAACCATAAATGTAAATGTAAATATTTGGGAGATATTTACTTTTACTTAACGTTAACATCCCCCGTTGGTTGCTCGTTCTCCTGTGGTAAGGGTTCGGCATGCTTGGTGAAATCGACATCTGCATAATCTGATCTGTTTTCGACGCCATGGATAACCGTAAACATGCCTTTCTCCTGCTCTCCTTTGAACTCCACATCCAAGTAGATGAGACCATCTTGATTCTGATAAGAGATATTAAAAAGCATTTGTAATTGAATAGATACTATAGAGTAATATTCTGATGAATATTATCTTTGTTTCGTTAAATAACAGCAAGTAGACGTTTTACTTAAACAATGTTTACTTAGGTACTGTTTACTTATATTGAAGCATAGGTGATGAACAAAATAATTCCCCTTTCTTGTGAGATCGAAGTATAGTCACAAAAAATACTATCTTTTTCTCTGCTTTTTCAATGAGTTTTTCACTGGAGTTTCTTAACTAGGGTGAGAAAATGTTGGAAAAAATAATTAACGAAAGTAGCTTGCGGCCTGAATTTTGCCAACATTTTGCAACATTTTCTAATCCGGAGTTATATATTCCACCATGATAGACATATATGTAGATTATACCCATTCAACTACTTAACATGTGCCGGAAGCCTTTTTCGTATCTACCGCAGTATCCATTTGCCTTTGATACGCAAGGTGACAAAGATAATGTAAGTATTTGATCGTGGCTGTTCTTTTGCGCTCACTTTGTCAAGTGAAGGCTCAGACGGGCCCCGGTTTCTAGAATATTTAACTATTTAGAAAACAAGTGTGGTCACCTGGTTCTCAGACTTTGGGGGATAAGCTTAAAATGAAATGCAGCTGGGAAATTCGTCGTGAAAATGTAGGGGCTGATAGTCATGCAGTCCAGTGAAGCATATATGTCTTCATTTCACAAGCTACACTTTTTATCATATCTGACCCTGTGGGCAGTTGTCCTATTTTTCCTATTTAGCCTGGATATATTTGGGAGGAAATTGTTATAATCAGTCACCATTCGGTTGAAGGAAGATAAAGAATAAACACTGAAGTCATGAATATGCGAGATGTTGATTTCAATGTATCAAATCAAATATATCGACATTGCTCGTCAACACATAAATCAGCAATTGACAGATATGCAAACACTTCTATAAGCCAGTATAACTGTAATTTAAGCGGAACATTCTGACTGTACATAGATATAGAAGATTGATACATATATATATATATATATGTTTCTTCGCTAGTAGATCTTTGAATAGATACATGTATAAAATTATATGAGGGTACCCTCGTTCGACAAATAAAACCAGTACCGCAACTTGCTTGTTAACTGGAACATTTGTGGGGTGGTTTTTGAAAGACTGCTAGTCTGTGTGAAAATAATACATGCGTGTGAATGGTTTATCGTCCAATAATTTATGGTTATTAACAAATGAAAATTGTCGTTACAATGTTCAATAGATAGCGTTGTAGTGATGCTCAACTTTATATATATGTTTTTGTGATTTTTTTTTATTATTTATTTATTTAATAACAAAGTATAAGTCTGCTGGCATCTGATGTATGGATGCGTCTTGTTTTCATACAATTATGCCACAAATGTTCTACATCGAGAAAATTATCTGGTTGCATTATCCTTGTTCCTGTTTACTTTTTTTTGTTAAGATACAACGGCAGATTTTTCTACGGTTTTCTATAAACATTGGTAAAGTATATATATCCCCATCAATTTTCATCAGGAAAGTGCAGTCCAACAAACATTCTTTAACTGTAGAAGATTGTTGTTTAGCTCCGTTCTAAGTGTTGCAACCTACGATTTGTGTTGCTAACGGGTGTTGTTATTAACTAAATGCAGCTGTCAGATCACTATGTCAACATTAATATTCAACGAAATGTCCATCTTCTATCAATGTTTTGCATGTTTAACTGACCAAATACAGTTGAACCTTACCAAAGGGTCATTTATTGATGAATAAAGCATGACTAAACTGCTTGCATGGTCAATGCTAACAGTCAAATATTACCGCTTAAAATATGTGTGGTAAAAGTGTTCTTGTTAGCATTGACACGGCATATATTATATATCTATTCCCTTTAGCCATTTTTCAACGACAGTGTTTGCATAAAATTAAAGTCTATGTGCTTAAAATGTACAACATCAAATAAACTCAGTGCATCGGGTGCTTGAAGTGACATGGGGTCGATGACTCTTATTAATGGTAACGGTGATCCCAGAAAGCTCTCAACGGAAACAGTTTCTAAACATGGACATTAAGTTTCTTTAAAATTTGATCAGAAATAAAAGTTTTATATTACCGGTCACCCTATTCACCTCAGAATCTAAAATCACTTAAAACTCCATAATGATGTTTTTGAAAACACCTGTACATACAAGTTTCATGAAAACTGGATAAGTAATAAGAGTAAAGAGTAATGACAGGTATGGTAAAGTTGGCCCTGGTTTTGATCCATCACCAGAATACAAACTGGTAAAAGTACAAGAGGGGCTATTTGTAAACATGTATGTTAATTTCATGAAAATCAGATGAGAAAACGGGGTAAAGAAATGAAGTGGAATTATATCTATAGTAACATTGGCCTCTTGTTTGACTCCTGATGCTAAATATGAAATGATTTAAAAGTTAAGGAAAATACGAAAGCCTGTTGTAAAATAATGGCAAAGTTATGAAACGTGACCTCGTAGAATATATGTTGCTTGTTAACAAATACCGGAAGTAACACGACCACTGATCACAATTGAAAACTGTATAGTGACGACATTGTCACGAATACGTGCAAACAGTTCCCTATATATACACGACAACTGATCGCGATTAGACAATTATAATTACCTGGGTTTACAGTAGAATTTAATATCAAATATAACATAGTTTGATCTTTGATGTATTATCATTCTGGTATTTTTTGAGATAGGATTATGTTTTGAATAAAATACAAATTCAGCTGAATTCCGGTAATCCTTACTAAACAAGAGCTCCGCAAACGGATACATAATACGCCCGTCTGACCCTATCCAATGATTTTTTGTTTGTTAAATTAAATCCATATTGTCCTTCGTAGACCCCACATGGACACCCATGCCAACAATTAGTACAATAACACATGATCTGATTGAACTGTACACCACTGAAGAAACCTGCACCAAAACTTTAACCGAGAAATTGCGCGAGAAAAGTTAAGTCCCAAACACGTCAAAAATTATCAAAAATATAAATGATTTTCCTAAATAAATCCATAGTGTCCTTGTTAAACCCCACATCATGCAAAAATTAGGACAATAACACTGACTGAACTGTATACCACTGAAGAAACTTGTACCAAAACTTTAACAGGACGGGAGGACGGACGGGCGCAGACGCTATACCATAAAATACCGAAATTAGACGGGCGTATACAAACCGATCATAAACGAAAACTATTCAGGTAACGGGATTGCAAAACTTGCACTCTATACCTCTAAGTGATATGCATATACTTATCACTTCCTCGTTATGTTAAATATGTACCTAATTTCTTTTACCATGAAGTAACATCTAATAATTTAATAAAACCAACTGGGATATTGCAACAACATGACCTTTACTTGAAGGGGAGAATACTTATAAAACATATTTGTGAATATATATATCAGTTTACCTTTTGACGATTAAGTCCTGCCTCCGGAACCTTTTTTTCTCCTCCCTTGCAATTGGCATAGACGTCATTTCCTTCACTTTTCCCAAAGCCACCTGCAATGTAAAACAAACAAGTTTTGGTTATTTTACGTTATCCGGTTTAACAAAACATAAACCATTACACATGAAAAATTAAAATTAACCTTGTTTCTTTTATGGAGGAGTTGCTTTACATTGTTACTGAATTGGCTTCCTCGTCATTTTGTCAAATAGCTGTCATTACTAGGCTTTTGCCTTGCGAGACCTATTTAGTGTATTTATGCAAAAGAAATATACATTTTACACTAAATGCTTATAATATGAATAGCCCTAAGAAAGGTGCAAGCTTCTAGTTTTTTAAGTCGGTCGTTACATCGTATTTGTTCTGACTTACTTACTTCACACGGACATTGAATCTTTTTAAATATATGATATTTGACCTTAACGTAATATATGTGTGTATATATATATCATGCTGAGAGAATAAAGTAACTTTAAACCCATGTCCGTTGAGTTAAAGAACGTTTTTCTCACTAGTCTATATAACCTATGAGGAAATTATCTGTCTTTGGCACTCTTTTAAACATAGAATCCAATTATCAATTAACAAACTGTACACTGTATTGACTTTTTAAATATCTTGTATTGACATATAATGGAAGAGGCTTGTTAAATTCCCTTTAATTCCATTTGTTGTTCACTAAATTAATGTTTGTTTCATTTTTTATGATTAGATTATAGTTATTTATAGTTACGTTGTATATTTTATCTGCTCTAAAATTGCGGTAGTGTTTAAATTAACTTGTGAATTGCTATATTTAGTTTTAATTTACATATTTTATAAATATTTACATACTTACACTGGATACATATCCTACTCGTGCATAGATTATTAGAAGTAAAGTCATAAACATCAATATAAGCCTTTTTTTAAATAACAAACAGGGTCGAGTAACTTATCGTCTTGTCTTACTTTGTGAAAGCTTTGCTTTGGTGAACTTTCACCTTTTGTACGCACAGTGAAGCTTCTCGAATTCAGCCATCCACGTTTCCAACAAACGTTGAAAATATTTCGATTCCACGAAACAATCGTTTTAAATGAAACCTAAATCACTTGCTGGACAATGACGAAGCAAAACTAGTTTTGGCTTACAGGATATCTACTGTCATTCCATTTTGGCGTTAGCCAAGCATCGATATGTGAGCAACATCTCTTTAGAATGCGAGAAGGAAGCTACCATACAATGATAGATTATTCAAGACGCAATATTGATCTCTTCAATCGTTCAGTATTTAAATATATCTACGTTAAACACTTGTAAAGCAGTATTTTTTCTCCTTATATGATATTCCGACGAAAATCAAAGCCTGATATTATTAACCTTAATGTATGGCCAATCCAAATTATTTGAGGCTACATGGTTTGCTGAACCACAGGACAAAATTAAAAGGGCTTCTACTGAACAGTAACGTTCTGAACTATGGGATGGTGAATGATGCAAACTCACATAGATCCGATTCGTGTATATGTGCACATAAATAGCGATACATCTATTTTGTTCAATATTCGACTTTACTTTTGGATTACACGTACCTTTTTGCTTTACGTTGCCTTGCTTTTTTTTCTCTGTAAAAATTGAGAAATTCATGACAATTAAATTATCGAATAAAGAATTGTCTTTATGGATTTCTTCCTATATGTCATCGTAATAGTATTGTGCAGAGTTAATATCACAAAAACTGATAAGGAATCCACAAGAAAAAAATAGAGAGCCTGTTTCCAGGTCGCCCGCTGGTAGAACGTTTATACAATTAATTTAACGAAACGATAGGTACATCCGTATATATGAAATATCGTTTCGATCGCGGTATGGTCAAGGTGCACCCAATGAGACGGCACCATGCCCCATAAAAGAAACTATTATTATGTATTTAACATTCAGATATAAATTTAGGATGAATTTATTCAAGTGTCTAAGTGTTAGAAGCATAGCCGATACTATATCGTTGTTTTTCTATTTACGCATGACTTGATGCTGGCGTAAGACGTTTATATGAAAGACAAACAGATAGCTCCCGTTATCAGATTACTCACAAAGATTATTTCTAGATTTAAGATAGTTATAGTCCAAAGGAATTTACTAAGTATATACACTAGATCGTCTACTTTACTGATTATGTGGCATATACATTACCTTTGCCTTTCTTTATTTTAGGTTTGACAACTTCTGCATACACGTCATCCGTAGTTTCTGGTTTCTTTGATTTGTCCACAACAGCATATACATCATCTGGTGATACAGATTTTTTCTTGGAAGATTTCTCAACCACAGCATATTCAGACGAACTCCCTGGTAGTGGACCCGAAGACTCATACAGAACGTTAGGTTTTAGCCCTATTGTGAAGATTACAATGTATATTTGATGCTGTTCTTGCGTTGTGTTACTGATCCTACAATAATGGTATTCCTATATATTCGAGAATGATCATTTATGCAGATTTGTTTTTGTACCCACCTCGATAAAATAAAATATAACTGTTGCCAGAATGGGTTATATTACCTCGTTTGTAGCAATAACTATAAGAATATTTATTTCTAGACTAATTTTAAGTAAAGGGGCATAGACCAATAAAATGACAGGTAATGCCAATACAACACTTTATTTACAATCCCTTGTGTAAAAGATCTTGGCGCGAACTTTCACCTAAAAAGGTGGCATCATTTTGAGGTAACAAGTTTTTCAAACAACGGGGCAAAATTCATTATGGAAGGGATGTAATGCTACTTCGGGTACCTTACTAAACCTTTCACCGTAAACATTGTGTTATTCATATTGGAGAAGTAATGCGAACAAAGCTTTTCAACAAATGGGCATTACTCTACTCTAATTTCCAATACTCTATTTGTAAAAGCACGGTGCACAATCTTAATCAGTGACGAAAAAGAGCTAGCAAAGGTTAACTATGAAAATTAAATTTGGCCGCCTATCGGCCATCTTGAATCCCGATAAGACTTGCGTAACCAGGGACCATGTGAAACATTTATTTGAAATCAGAGTTAAATCACTTTAGTCCTTCCTGATAAAGAGCGCTAACAAACAATGTCTCTCAAAATTCAAGATTGCAGCTTGTCATCACTTGTTGATTCTGATAACACCCACACTTTGATTTGCGTAACTAAGGACATCGGGGAACTTTCTGAATTATAGCGCTAACAAGATTTAGGAAGGACAGACTGAATGACAGACGGACCACTGACGAGAGGCGATTTGAACAGCACACCAGCTGGGTCCAGGTGTTCAAAAGGTGATTTGTTTGATTACTGTTTAACTATATTTCTTACCTCTATTATTTTGTCAATATACAAGGTAACAACCCGTCAGTCAGTATGCAATTTTACTCTACTAAATATTTTCCATCTTAAAAGTTTTAACTCATGTATTGGCCGAGTTTTAAAAATACAAGAACAATGAAATTTGTGCTAATCACTGATTAATCTAATCAACTTTTTATCAACTGAACCCTTAAGATGTTGGGCTTTTCAAATATAATCTTCATTAAGCTAGTGGATGTTTTGCGATAGAATTTAAATTCTGACTTGTTGATAATTTTTCAAACTTACCTGCTGACTCATATAGAATATTGGGTTTCATGCCATCTGTAATGAAAGGCACCAATTCACTTTAACCGTTAGATTCTTAACATGATTTCATATATAGCTTTAGTGAATGGCTGTTCACTAGAAAATAAACTATAAACACTATAAAGTACAAAGAGGAAAAGAGACATTTTAATTTTCGTTTTACAAAATTATACAAAATCGGGCCGAATGACGCTTACCTGATTTTCTACCTTTTTGCTTATTTCCTTACACTGCTTTTCAGCAATGTCCTGTTATGTTATAAATAGAGAAAACGCTAGCGCAACGGAATAATTGCAATTTCAAGTTTTGGGCTCAAAATGGGATTAAGTTACAATGTTATTTCAAAATGGTTTCAACAAAGTAAAGACCAGAAGAATAACAGCCTTAACGGTCACCTGAGTGGTAATGAAATTCAGGCGTAATCTTGTATATTACAAGGAATCTATAATTATTAATTTCGTACACTTTTTCAAGTTAATAAAAATACGTTGTGATTATGTAAACATTTAAAATACCTCTTAATTGATATACCTCTCAACGTATTGCATGTTCAGTTAGTCAAACACTTTTTAACAGAAGTTCGAAATGCATTACGCTCATGGTTAAAGATTAAGCCCAATATTTTGTTTTTAAATATACTACCTAATCATCGGTATTACAATATTTTCGAGTCTGACAATAGCCCAATCAAAGCTAAGTTGGCAATAGAGTGGAAAAGTGATATTTGAGAAAGATATGTACTAAGGTTTATGTGTCATAGCGATTGTAAATTTCAATGCTCAAAATCAAAATGTCCAAACGGTGGCAAATATTTTCCGATCATGCTGAAAATCGAAACTGCACTATTCATTTCCAAAACAAGTTTAAACTGTCGTATTCAAGTGTGATTTATACGCCCGCCTGTCATCCATTCTTCTTGTTCGAGTTCAATATGTTCTACCAAGGATGACGAAATATCCATTTGTATCAACTAAGAAGAATCCCTCAGAACTTTAAAAAATGTAACGATAACAATATATAGCTGTCAAACTCCACCAGTATGGTCGTTCGGTTACCCTTTTTTTACCGTATCCTCCACATTAAACATGTACAAAGAAGGATCATGATGGACTATCCCTCCAGTCATTTTTCAGAAATAGTGATAACAAACTTCACTGTCAAACTCTAACATGGCTTTTTAGCGACCATCCTGCAGTTTTCCAGTTAAAGTCCAAAACGTTATGTGTACAATTAAGGAAGGGAACCTGCTGACGCTATTTGAGAAAGATCCGCCAAGTGTAAATTGCGAGATAGCGATAACATGCTTTAATTGTCAAAATCTAAGATGATCGCATGCAGCAATCTTGCTCTTTTGATCAGTTTTAAACTGAACTTGTTCAAGTAAGAATCGGAGTAAACCGACATATGAAAAAGTTCTGCCCAGTTAATTCAAAGAGGTAATAATAACAGGAATTGTTTTAACCACGAACGAACAGACAAATGATGGACAGCAGACGAAAAGCGATTGTGATGACGTGAAAAGATGTATGTTTAATGTGTCAAATGAACTTGTGTAAAGTGTTCAAGAAATAACTGTGCTAGCGCAAATATATTACCTGAACTCTCCTCGTCAATAGATCTTCTGAAATATAAAAATTACACTAACAACACTGATATAAAATTAAGTTAAGCTTGCCTATTGATAGTTATGCTACATTTAATGACTATAAATCATGTAAAAGCATATACAAGTCAAGGTATTCGAGGCTAACAGATTGAAAGAATAAATAAGATTCCAGGCGTAAAAATATTGCGTTGACAATCACTTCCAAGATCTGCGTCAAATCAGGGTAGATCAAGGTCAAATATATCTAACAGATATGGTAGCAAAGAAGCCTACCCTAGGGGTCAATTATGACCATGATATAACTATTTGAACAAAGTTGATAGCCTCTCTTACAAAAAGATAGGGCCAAATAGAAGTGGTCTGTATCATAAGTTAATACATGTGACCCCTGTGTCCTCGATAAAGGGTCAAAGTCATGCTTTGATGTAAACTTTGCGATGTTTTTCCTTCGTGTTCTTGTTCAACATATTCATAAACTATTATCTAACTAAACACATTAGGAGGCTCGGTAGTCTAGTGGTAAGACGCCGGGGTCGTGACCAAAGGGTTGGGGGGTTTGAGTCACGGCACGGCGTTCATTAAACCTAGTTCGTAGGTCTGCTCAAAGCGGTTCACAAAATAATATCCATGGTTATGGGGCCAATATCTTTCTCAACTCCCTGGGGAGCATACATCCGGTGCTGCCATTTCGGGGCTCACAACTAGACTTTTACAATTCTAGCACTACCCAACCACGTACTCATGTACAGCTGAGTAGACTAGAACAAGCGGAGTAAAGTATCTTGCTCAAAGACACAACACAGTGCCGTGACGTTAGTCAAACTCGCAACCCTTCGGTCATGAGTCTGGCGTTCTACCACCAGACTACTGTGCCTCCAAGGTAACATAGCCTAGAGCTCCTTAAAGCTGATGCAACATGTTGTAAAGGAAGGTTTGTCACAAAGATTTTACGTACCCTAAACTGTCCTTACAGATACAAAACGGTGCACAAACAATTTGTTTGAAATCAGACAATATCTCAATTTGTACCGATAAAAAGCAAGGCTTCATTTGTCATTTGCTGACAAAGCCGTCTTCTATCATACTAGGAGAGTATATGTATATATGTATGGGTAAAAGACGTAATATCAATGGTATCTCCTATGTAACACTGAATCCTTACAAACCTATGCTTCATACGAATTACTTGAAATTGGTATATGGGACAGTGAAGTAATTCCAATAGTGTAGACATTATGAGGGTGTCAAATTTTCGCTCGTGACAAAGACAAACATAATACATTTATTGAGCAATACGCAGAGGTGAGCTCTAGGCTATGTTACTAAACTGCTCTTTCCTTATAATGCCTATTTTCCGCGCTATGAAAAACGTAGGGAAAGCTTATACATGTATGTCCGTCCCTCTGTCAAGTTATCGTTTCGGTTCAATAACTGCCCAATACAAAATCCAATTTCAATCCAGTATGGTATGCACATACCTAAAGACTGTTCTCAGGCTAAATTGGATCGCAAACGTGCTTAATTAATTACCCTTTTTTCAATTCCAATGGATAAGTGTTTTTATGCAATACCTTCCATAAAAATGGGTCCATTTCTACCAAAGATGAAAAAGTCAATACTAGCCAAATTCTTAAATGATAGAACCGCCTGGGACAGCAAATCACCCCGACAAAATCACGTGCATAATTTGCCATTGACTTATCATGGATTTTTTTCGAGAAAGGTAGACAACTTGTGAACAAATCTGTAAATTATGTTTTATAATATTTTATATGGACATGCTATCCATTTTTCTAAATATGAAAGGTAGACATCCATTGAAAAGTTACACTTAAGACCAGCAGTGTATAAATGCTAGGGCTACCAATACACCAACTTTTAATTTTGTATGGCAATAGGTTTTCAAATTATTCTGAGAAGCCGAATTTAAGTTTTAGCAATGATGACCGTAAGCATTATGCCTTTTTGATATCACTTTAGCAAAAATAGCTTGCACTTTGCGTGGTAATCATTGTATCAAGTACTTATCAGTTTAATTACAATGAATAAAAAAATAAAAAAAAATAGGAAACGGTCGCTTTGAACTCTGACAGTCCACATCCAAAAATCATAGGATTTTTGCATCCAGTAAGGCAACCAACACACCGCGGTTGAAATTTGTATTTTTCGTTCTAAAGTTATAATCTGGACGAACAGAATTTTATTTTTACCAACGGTGGCTTTGACCTCTGACTGACCACGTCCAAAATTGACACCACTCTTTGCATCTACTAGGGTAAGCAAACAACAAAGTTGAGTTGTGTATGATCAATTGTTTCCAATTGATCATCCGTACAAACCAGAATCCTATTTAAAACGAAAGTGACCTTCACTTCTGGCGCTCAACGCCAAAAATCAATATGGTTCTTTGCATCTATTTGGGACACCCACACACCACATTTGAATTATGTACGATACAATTCGTTCCCAGGTTATCATCTGGACAAGCCCATAACAACTTAATTCTAGTTTTATCATTGACCTTGGACCACACTTAAAATGATTAGACACTTAGGATGATTAATACAAATTTTCGCAAATTATCATGTGGACAAGAACTACAGAGAGACGGACGGACACCCAACTTTTCGGCTATATTTATTTTTTGGGGGAATTATAATTAAGTATAACACCGTGCTTCCAAATGTCAACTGATGCTGGTTATTATGAACTGATACAAAACTACCCATGTCAATCTGCAGAAAATGTTGTTCGTAGTACAAATGTAATAGGTGTGTGTGGTGCAACATGAAACTCAACGATATAAATATATTTCATTTCAGTAATAATTACCATAACTTTAGTATGCATATACAATACCTACACCCATCTTTGTAGCCCAAAAACAAAAGATTCAAATATCCCTACCTCCCTACCGTGACGTAACCTCTATCTCGATGACAGAGCCACGGAGTGATCTCCCTTCCTCTTCCTTTTATGGCGCCTGCTGCATGCTGACGCACGGAGCTTGCTCCAATTCAAAACATTGTTTTGTCGGTTTGGTTTGAGTGTCAACTCATATTTTTGCGCAGTTTGTGTGCCTTATACCCATCTGCCTTTATTGATATAACTAATTGTTGTTGAAAATTATTTTTGTGCCTTTTACGGCCGGTTATTTTACTCCACGTGTGCCGGTGGTGTGCCACGGTCCGCCATTATCGTGGGTTAATTTCCGACCTCTGTTTATTTCGGTGACGGTTGTTTGTTTCGGCAAACGTTATTTATTTTAACCGTTTTCTGATTTATATTACGGGTGAAATTCTTTCTACGTTGCGTACTTTGTACTATCGTATTTTAACCTTATTTTCCCGTTTTATCTGCTTGTAAATTTTTTGTTTACGTTCGCTTTGGAGGGTATGTCTCGGTCGGGACAGCGACGAGGTAGTGCTCATGGGTGTTCCCATTTCTTTGTGGAACGGGACCCTCATGATGCCTGTCCCAGGTGTCGTCCTTGCAGTGAGGTTTCGCCTTGTGAACTTTGTTCACAGTCAAAATCTCAGGGCAAGGACTTCATTGTTCCAAAGCTACCCTCAACTTACCGTAAGACAGATTCGTCTGTTTCTTCCGGTAAGCGAGGGAAGCAGAGAGGTAGGGGTCGTGCCACCAGCTCTCTGGGGTCTGGTGGTACTGTCTCTGTTCCTGTCTCGGGGGGTCTTGCTTCGGCAAGTCCCTCTCGTGAGCAGGGGGTGGCCCTTCCTGTCCAGGAACTCCCTGGAGTAGGGGAGGGGCAGCCTGACCCTGGCTTGGCACAGCCAAGGGTCGAATTGGCCGGGAACGCCCGTAAGCTTTCGCGCTTGCCTTCGGGTAGGGACTACCGGCCGCCGGTCACTGACTCTGTCAGTGATCCCGGCATTCCAGGTGGTGCTGTCGTTGGGGACAGTCTTGGTGCCGGGCCTGTTCTTTCGGGTTCAGGTCCTGGTGTGACAACAGACTTTCTTTCGGGATTGTCTGTGTCTACCGGGATTAGTGACGCGCAGCTCACTAATCCCGGCATCAATGCTGGTCAGGCATACCCTCCCGGTCAGTTACCCGGACCCGGTCCTATTAGGTCCGGTCCCGAGTTTCATTCTTCTGGGAACCTGGGGGGTTTCCCCCCAGGGGTTGGGTTTGCTGGACAGGGGGCCGGTTTCCGGCCTCCGTTTTCCCCTGGCTTAGGGTATACGGGTGCCTGCGGGCAACCATCCTTGGGCCGCCCTTACCAGCCTGCGGATGGTTTTGGGTTGCGGCAGCATCCCGGCAGTTACGGGCTTAGCCCGTACATGTCCGGGTTTCCACCTGGAGGGAGTGGCGGTCCACCTTCGCCCTTTGGGCAAGTTGGCCAGCCCCAGTCTCAGGCAGGCCAGTTTGGCCAGTTCTGGGGTCACTCCCAGCCCGCGGGACCTTTCCCCTATCCTCCGGGATATGGGTTTAACCCCATGGCATTTCCGTCATGGAATCCTTGGGGTTTGGTCTCTCCCTCGCGGAGACGTGTTAGCAGTTCTGTTGACCCCCCCCAACTTTCTGCTACTTCGGGGGCCTTATCGGCCGGTCCTAAGAAGGTGTGTCGGACCTTTAGGACTTCTGCCTCTCGGGCAGGCTCGTTGGTCTCTGGGTCCAAGGGTAGGGTTTTGGCTACTAAGCCTAAACCTACAGCCACGGCCGTTAGGCGCACTGCACCTAAACGCCGGTACGGGGAGCCTTCTCTCGGGTTGGCCCCTCTGGCTGGCCCATTTCCTCCGCCCCAGGCTTCTGGTCTGGATGGTGTGGAGGCTATGGACGTTGAGGGCGCGGGTATGGCAGAGGACAATGATGTTGTTCATCTTTCACCTGGTTGTTCGGATATAGACGCTGGTCTTTCCGAGTCGTCTGACGACAGTCCTCAGGAGGGCTTGCCCTCAGAGGAGGACTTCCAGGATGAGGGAGACCCTGAGGCTGCTGAGGTTGAGGCCCAGCATGTGTTATCCGGTATGCGGGGCCTTAGGGCTGACGTTTCCCGGATTCTTGGGGAGGAGGTTTGCCCACCACCTTCGGCATCATCTGTCCCCGAGTCCACCACCCTTTTGGGTTCTTTGGTGGCTCCTCGGGTGTCCGCTCGGTCGGACCGCTCTCTGCCAGAAGGCACCATTGTGTCTTCAGCTCTGGCCACCGCCCAGTCTCGGGTTTTAGGGAAGAATTCTTCTTCAACCCGTAGTCCTGGGTATGCTGGGTTGCAGCTCAGTGTTGGCGATTTGTCAGAGGTGCACGCCACTGACTATGCCACACATGATGGTCTGCTTGCCCCTCAACCAGCTAAGCTGGAATCGAGGGAACTTGCAGCTTGGCCCGGTAAATCGGTGGACCAGGTGGTGTTCGGTCCCAAAGAACACCACAAGATGGAGAGACTGCTGCGTCTCTCCATCCAGATTCTGTCGTATATAGACTACTTGACGGTTTGTCTATATAGGGTATCCGACTTGCCTGAGGGTCGGATTACCGAGACAGAGCAGGCCGACATCCAGGACAGAGTGACCTCTGCCCTGAACGGGGCATTGAGAGCGCTGGCAGCTTTACAGGTGTCATCCCTCGTCAATGTCTTGTTGGCTAGGCGGTTTTCAGTTTTGAAAAATCGCCCGGTCGATGAGCCTTACCGTTCCAGACTGTTGACTGCCCCCTTCTCAGGGTCCACTCTTTTTGGAGGGGCCCTTCCTTCTGTTCAGAAGGATTTGAAGGAGGACTCGGTCGCCTCTGCACTTCTGGTGAAGAGGATTCAGGCTGAGAAGGCCAGTACCTCGCAGGGGTCAGCGCCTCCTAAGAAGAAGGCTAAACCTTCGGCTTCGCAGTCCTCTGCGCAGCCCAAGTATAAGCCTCCCTTCAAGGGCAACAAATGGAAGGGTAAGAAGGGTAAGAACCCTCCTGGGGGTAAGAAGAAGGGTTCCTGACTCTTTTCTTCCCTCCTTGGTCGTGTCAGACGACGAGTTTGGCCGGGAGGAATGCAGTCCTCTCGGCTCAAGCTTAGGTCCTTCTCCCGCAGGATTAGGCTTCGGGTCAGCAGACGATTCTCTTGCCTGGCAAGGTCTCGATCTGCCTCGACCAGATCTTCCTGTGGGGGGTCGTCTTTCTGCTTTCCTTCCAGAGTGGAAGGAAATTACGGAAGACGCATGGACCTTGTCTGTGATCAAGGAGGGGTTAGGCATTCCGCTAGTGCGGGATCCGCCCTTAGCGTCAGAGCCAATCTTTTTTCCTCCACCGGGGGATCCGGAAAAGGCTCTGGCGCTCCAGGAGGAAGTAAGGACCATGCTTTCCAAGGGCGCGGTCGAGGAGGTTCCTATGTCGGGATGCACTCCCGGGTTCTACTCCAGAATGTTTCTGGTTCGGAAGAAGTCCGGGGCGTGGCGTCCCATCATAGATCTAAGTGCCTTCAACAAGCACGTAGATTCTCCTCACTTCAAGATGGAGACTCCTCGGGGTATTATCGCCTCCGTGAGAGAGGGAATGTGGGCGACTTCAGTAGATCTAAAGGACGCCTACTTCCACATCCCCATCAAGAAGTCGGCACGGAAGTACCTCCGTTTTACTTGCAACGGAAAGGTCTTCCAGTTCCGGGCCATGCCGTTCGGGCTCACGACTGCACCTTTGGTTTTCACCAAGCTGCTGCAGGTGGTCGTGGGATTCCTGCACTCTCGAGGAATAGATGTTCACATCTATTTCGACGACTCCCTCATGCTCCACCTAGTGAGAGAGTCTCTGGTACAGGTCACCCGGTTGGTTCTGAAACTCTTACTCAAGGTCGGCTTCATTCCTTCCAGAGAAAAGTCGGAGGTTTCCCCATCTCAGGATTTTGTTTTTCTGGGGAACCGTTTCAATACGGTTCAGGGCATCGCCCTTCCACCGATGGAGAAGTTCGAGAAGGCCAGGGCTTTTGCTCTGACCTTTATCGGCCGGTCTCAAGTCCAGGTACGTTGGTTTCTCAGTTTTCTGGGATATCTCAACGCCCTGGCCGATGTGGTCCCCTTAGGGAGACTTCACATCAGGCCTCTCCAGATGTTTCTCCTTGCCAACTGGGTCCCTTCTTCAAGGGATTGGGAAGCCTTGCTTCCTCTGAACCAGTCGGTCAAGGAGTACGCACGCTGGTGGACTCATCAGGACAATGTTCTCCGAGGGGTTCCTTTGTCCAAGCCAGTTCCCACTATGACCCTGTACACGGATGCATCCATGACAGGGTGGGGAGCTTATCTCGACGGGCGTTGCCAGTCGGGGGAGTGGTCTGGGGAACAGCTCTCGGAGCACAGCAATGTGCTCGAGATGAGGGCTGTTCTGTTGGCTCTGCAGTCTTTTCGGGAGATCCTGCATTCCAAGGTGGTTTGTGTGGCTACGGACAACACTACGGTTGTCGCGTATCTGGAGAGACAGGGGGGAACCAGGTCTCACACCCTGTGTGCCCTCGCTATCCGCATTCTGCTTCTATGTCAGGAAATGCAGTTGACAATTTGTGTCAAGCATCTGCCAGGCAGGTTGAATGTTCTGGCGGATACTCTTTCCAGGCGCCGCCAGCCGGTTTTGACAGAGTGGCAACTGAATCCCTCGATTTTCGTGGGAATTTGTCAGGTGTGGGACAGGCCTCACATAGACCTGTTCGCCACTTCACTGAACAATCAGTTGCCAACGTTTGTCTCTCCGGTACCAGATCCAAGGGCTTGGGCCGTGGACGCTCTGTCTCTGGATTGGGAGGGAATGCATGCATATGCATTCCCACCCTTCAACATGGTGGGCAGGGTGCTGCAGAAGTTTCGGGAGCATCAGTGTTCCCTCCTCCTGATAGCGCCCCTGTGGCCGAGGCAGCCTTGGTTTCCGGAGCTTTTGTCGCTTCTGGTGGAAGAGCCCCTGGCTCTTCCTCTCAGAGCGAACCTCCTTCGCCAGCCTCGTTCCAGGACGATGCACTCTCGTCCGGAGATCCTCCACCTTCACGCGTGGAAGCTATCTCAGGAGGCCTCGCTCAGGCGGGCTTTTCTAGGGACGTGTCAGATCGCATCGCTCGATCAATTAGGGCTTCCTCATCTGCCGTCTACCAGTCACGATGGAAGATTTACTGTGATTGGTGTGTCGGCAGGAAGGTTGATCCGATCAAGGCTACTGTCCAGGTGATTGCGGACTTCCTTCTTTGGCTGTTTAGGGACCGCAATCTTGCCCCTGGCACTATCGCTGGTTATCGCACGGCCATTGCTAGTGTTCTCTCTGTTCATGGTAGGTCGGAGGTAGGCTCGTCCTCCTCTCTTTCTGCCTTGATTAGGGGGTTTGGGTTGGACAGGCCTAGGGTCCGGCAGTTGGCTCCGCAGTGGAATTTGCCACTGGTGCTCGAATCGCTGATGCGGGCACCTTATGAGCCTTTAGCGTCTGCCTCCTTGAAGTTTGTTACTTACAAGGTGGTATTCCTTGTTGCCCTGGCCTCAGGTCGAAGGAGGAGTGAGATTCATGCCTTGTCTTCTCACCCCTCTTGCCTCCGATGGTCCAGGAATTACTCTGCCGTTACCCTTCTCACTGATCCTGCCTTTATGGCTAAGAATCAGGTTCCTGGCTTCTCGCCCGATCCGATTAAGATTCCGTCTTTGACTGCCTTCGTTGGAGCTGAGGAACGGGATAGGTTGCTCTGTCCCTGTCGGGCGCTTAGGTTTTACCTCGATAAAACCAGGGGGGGGCGAGGTCCTCGATCTCGTCTGTTTTTGCCCATTAAGCAGGGTCAACAGGATATCTCTTCTCAGTCAGTGTCTAGATGGATCTGTCAGGTCATCAAGTACGGTTACGACCACTCGGATGATCAGGTTCGGGCGTTGTATAAGGTGAGAGCTCATGAGATCAGGGCCCTTGCTGCGTCATGGGCCCTCCTCAATGGGTCCCCCTTTCAGGAGGTCATGTCCGCAGCTTTCTGGCGCGGACAGACTACCTTCACGGATTTTTATCTCCGGTCCTTGGCCTCTCATTCTGATGGATTGTATTCCCTTGGACCGGTGGTGGTTGCACAGTCTGTGGCTGTTCCTCCACAGTAATTCAGTGATTTTAAATAGTATGCTATCAGGCACCACGGTGGTACACCTGCTCGTTTCACGGGGAGGTTTTCCATTTTTTAATTACTTTCGGGGCTTTATTAGGGGGGTTCCTTGAACCTTTTCCCTACCTTGAGCATGTCTCGAGTTTGTTCCGTCAGCCTGGTCTGCCTGGATTCGAAGCCTCCACTACGGTAAGACGAATTCGCATACTAAAGTTATGGTAATTATTACTGAAATGAAATTGAGGTTTTTGAAGTAAAACCAATTTTCATGATGTAATACTTACCATAACTTTATGGAGTCCCACCCTGTATTCCTCCCCTTGCCTCCTCATCCTGGCTGCCTTTAGGCTCCATAAAAGGGGGTTTGAGGAAGGGAGATCACTCCGTGGCTCTGTCATCGAGATAGAGGTTACGTCACGGTAGGGAGGTAGGGATATTTGAATCTTTTGTTTTTGGGCTACAAAGATGGGTGTAGGTATTGTATATGCATACTAAAGTTATGGTAAGTATTACATCATGAAAATTGGTTTTACTTCAAAAACCTCAAATTATAGTAAATTGTCATTTTTCATTAGGTGAGAGAAGTAAAACAAGTAGGCGCCTTCTCACTGAAGCAATCCCTAAAAGGAGATATAATAAGCATAGCTAAAGGCGATCTAAAGGCTAATCAATCCTTTAAAAATATTACATTTTAATGATTTTCTTTTACATATGCGGATCACTAAAACAGAAAAGTAGATAGACAAGTACATAGATGATTAACTTACCTCTGATCAACTGATATCATCTCTTCATCAGCGCCTTTTAAAAACAAAGATATTCACTGGTAATTTTTCAACGGAACGCTTGTCTATAATGTTTATAAATTCATTTATTCAAAGTATATGCTTCATTCACCACATGTGGACCAACCGCCACCAATTACATACTCGTACTTTTTATAAACAAAGTAATAGGTTATAAACTTTACATAATTTTCAAATATATAATATGTATATAATAAGAATACAAAAAAAAATACATTTCTATGTCAAACGGTTCAAGGACCTAAAATAAACATAAAAGTCTTTGGCCATGCCGTTAAAAAATAATAAAATCGTAATTCCAAATAAATGCACATAGGGCAAATAATTTGGATAAACAGAAATATTATATTGCCACTTCCATCTACTGAACATTTATAATTAAGATTATTTGAGGGAATACCAAAACAAGCAAATATGAATGTGAACTCAGCAAGGCATTATTACCTTTACGTTTGTTCTCAGATGTCTTTCTCTTGATTATAACGACGGAAACGAGCAAACTCAGTCCAACTGCTGTTCCTGCCAATCCGCCAAAAATAGCTCCCAACGGACTTCCTTGAGGTTTTGCTGAAATTGATATCGGTTGGTATTTGGTGAACGTTGAATAACACCTATGTAAAACGTATTATAGGAAATACGTGTAAGTTGAGTGTCATCTCTATTTATTAAGCGTTGGAATACAGATAAACACTGTTTCAAAACAGATAAGTATGTAGTCATCTTACAGTTTAGTGTAATTACATTGTAGCAAATGGATCAATCTTCTTATCGTCAAAGCACATTTAAAGGCGTATCCGGATTGATTTTACATTTTTTCGCGCATTTGTTTTAAAGCAATACAATTATAAAATAGATATCGCATTGTTTATCGCCATCCATATATTACTACGAGAGTTTTTCATTCATAAACAATTCAGTACATCCAAAGTATGACGGTTTCTTTTTGAATACCATATACTTACAGAGAAAGAATATTTGCTTAATTCAACAAGTAAGAATGACCCATAAATATTCAAGTTTCTCTCAAAACAACAACAAACATGCCTGACAAAATTTAGAAATAGTACACATTTACAACCTTTCAGTCCAACTTATCCAAAAAGTTGTTGGCACAAATAACATGTATTTTCTAAAAGGAATTAATTTATCAATGTGAGAAAAAACTTACACACCACGGGATATGCATCACAAAGATGAAGAAATAAGTAAATGATCACAAAATAAACACAGGAGTTAAGAAATACAAGCGAACAAAAGCAAAATCACCTGAAGAATGTTGATTAAGTTAACAAATATGTCCCTGTACAGTTTGATTTGATAAAACATTTAAGCGTATTGTTGTCCAACGTTTTCCTCCTTTAATTTCAAAAATATGTTGTTTTTTCTTGTTACGTATTCGTCTGCTGATTAGTCTTATCCATTATTAAAGCAATATGAAGGAAATAAATTGATCACCTTTAGTTGTACAATTAACTTCTTCTGGAAATGATGAGTTGCCAATCTCATTTACAGCATACACTGTGAAGACATGCTCTGTTTCAGCTTTCAGGCCATACACTGTGGTGGTAACAAAATGGCCTTGTCCCGGGTCCGTTTGGTTGGTACTTCTATCGATCGTAATGCTGCTCCGCATATCGTTTCGTATGCCAACAATGAACGTTTGACTAGATCCCCCATTGAATCCAGATGTCCAGCTCAGAGTGGCTTGATCTACATCAGGGCAAACAGCTGTACCCCCGTACGGAGGACTTGGTTTTCCTAAAGAAAAGAAGAAGGACATAGCATTGACGTAACATTTTGCATTCCATTTTCAATCAAACTTTTAAATGTGGAGTTTTCGCATTACTGCTTAAGAAAAGGTGAAAAGAGGTTTGTTCATGAATAAGCGCCCATAAAAATACACTTGAGGATTTTTTGTTTAAATAAATCAAGATAAAAACAAAATAGGGAAGAAGAAAATCATTATATGATAAACAATTAAAATGCGTAACACCTTCAACGGCATACTGTAATATTATGATGGGACAAATTTGTGACGTCATAGATTATCAACAACACATCATAGATAAGCAATAAAGCAAGGAGAGACTTCTCACAGAATACAACATTTAAGTAAGAATCGAAAAGAAATACTGATTATGACATAATTAATATTATGATGAATTTTGATTAAATAAATCAAGATAAAAACAAAATAGGGAAGAAGAAAATCATTATATGATAAACAATTAAAACGCGTAACACCTTCAACGGCATACTGTAATATTATGATGGGACAAAATTGTGACGTCATAGATTATCAACAACACATCATAAATAAGCAATAAAGCAAGGAGAGACTTCTCACAGAATACAACATTTAAGTAAGAATCGAAAAGAAATACTAATTATGACATAATTAATATTATGATCAATTTCGATGAATTTGTGTTTTGTCAATTGGGTGTGTAGGTATATAATACCGTTACAAGAAACCGACAGGTATTATAAATTCAAAACTAAGCCGACATGTCTATCTGTTGGTTGATTCATTAAGGTATCGGTTGCTACTCAGTTGTGTTTCATATACAAGGTTTCACAAACACATCTGTACGTATTTGTCTTCGCTGTTTTCTCAATTCCAGTAACTTGATAGCCATTCATTTGGAGGTCATTGCTCGTTTTTAAGTGGTCCGGAACGAGGTCTTAAAATTTTGTTCTTACCAGAGATAAGTTCTATTGCATTTCCTTCTTTTTTTCCAAATATGATCCGGAAAGAGTTTACCATCAGACATGACATTAACTGCAAAATCTTTAAGCGTTATCTACTGTATCGAATGCAGAAAACGTAACTTATTTACGTCTGATATGCCGGCAATACTCTATGCCAGATAATTCAGTTAAACACATCGATGGTAAGAATCAGATTGGAGTTTTCAAAATAGAATATATGTTAAAATATTCTTCTTTACCAGATACTTAATTCCTGACATTTACTTAGTGACTGAAATAGCATTATCAAAGCTTAATCTACAGTTTTAAATGTATCATTTTAAGCCCAACTAACTATATATTTTGGAATTACCAATTGTTTTCTACAATGTTAGTTGAAAGGTTCAGTATAAAGTTTATTTAAAAAAATGATTGCAGAAAAAAGTGATTAAAATGTTAAAGTAAAAGTGGTTTTATAAGTAGCCAGCCAAAAAGTGTCAGAACTCTTTTCCATGTTTGAATGAATGCAATTTGTATTAATACGTTTTTTGTCGCAGTTTACCTGGCAAATAGATTCCTAGCAGCATAAAAGATGCATTTAATCACTGCATATATAAGTCTGGAAGCAGTAGTTCGTCGATATGTATGAAGCTCCGTACACTTAGGAAGTGTATTTGTCTTTGAATGATGATCACTTACTAATTAGATTTTCAAATATTTAATTTGTCTATTTCTTCTTTAAGTTTAAGGATTGTCAAATAATGTTGTCTGTTCCATCCTGTACTATTTGGTGTTAGACATTGCCCAGTATGGAACCATTTTCTAATAAAATCGAACAACAACCTTGTACGTAACACAAGACTTACTTTCATATATGTCTCCGAGAACAATACATTAATTAATACTTGGGGACAAGATACAAAAGATAAACGAGAACAAATCGAATGAGTGGTTATCCTTAACTAATCACTATTACATACAGGTGTTTCCTGATATTATTCACTTTAGTGAGCCGAGTGCTTGTGATGGAATAGGTAAAATGTTTCTGGTGCTAACTCGAACAAATGTACAGTGTTATAAGTCATACTATGTTAGCCAAGAGATAAGTAATTGTAAAACAAACGAATAGAACAAAGACCAGAAAACTAGGACTACATTATCATAACGAGTATTCATAACTACCTTCAATTTCTCCTTATATAATGACGTGGTTGTTTACCTTTTGCTACAGCTGTAAAACGCAGATTTTCGCTTCCCTGACTGTTTGTTGCCGTGACAGAGTACACTCCGAACCATGTCTCTTGCATATCTGTACGTGTACCAACTGACATCGAAGACAGGTTCGTCGTTTCGAAGGTAGTATATATCTTGAAATTGTCTTTCCCATTAAACAGATTTGTTGAATCCATTTCTGTTGGTTTTAGGAATGTCCAAGTGATAGAAGGCTCCGGATTCGAGAGAAACATAGCATTGATAACTAACGTTTCCGATATTCCTAAACCAAACGTATCATCAACTTCAGCTCTTGGGTCCGGACGTGGTTTACCTATGATACACATAAACTATTAATAAATACAGTAGATCTTCTGTCTTGGTTATCTTTGAGGTAATAAGGTTCACACATGTCTAGCTTCACAGTTGAAGTAGCGTGCGTGCGTGTAAATATTGAATATAAGTTATTTTATTCTCGTGTATCTCTCCTGTTTACAGGGAGATATTTAACGCATTTAAATTCTTGCCATTATCGTCTTCCTAAATGAGACGATAATATCAGGACAGCGCTTTTCAGAACACAGCATACCACAAAAAGTAAGTTTATGAGAAGGCGAAATGAACAATGGATTTTCACAATTAAGGGTGAAAGATTCTGTGTATACATTAAGTAAAAGTAAGGATTAGTGTCACCCTGACCATCGACAGATGGACAATAAGTCTAACCCAGATAATACATACATAATGATTTATTTGACGATTTGATCAGTTATTGATAACTGTTACCGTTTCGTTGACAATACTACTAATAATATTTCCTAAACTAAACGATCGATACTTGAAGGTACACGAGATGTAATTGTGTTGGCCCGCATGGAACTAAAATAACCATGAAAACCATTATCTGTACATTCAATAACATCCGAATTCAGTTACTTAACCGTCCCACAACTGTGTCATTTTTATAACCTTCAACTCCTCAAGCTATACTAATTAATTTTATTATTTATGTCTTTCCATTACGATTTTGATACTTTCAAAACGTCGAAAAGGCTTTAACTTGGATTCAGAAAGCAAGGTGCGCATGCAAAATAAAAAAATAGTATACCAAGTTTAGAAAAATGAATTAATTTTAATAATATGCATTATCATCGTCACCAACTGTTAGCATGAGCAAATTAATGAAAACCTGGATGCAAAGTGATATTATTCTACATCAAATATTGTTTGGAGCGTCATCACATAAAATAATATGCTAAATGTCGCTAACATATGTTGTCATCATATTGCCTCAAAAATATATTGATATTACTTTGCTCCTTTTAAAAGTATAGTGGAGAGGTAATCAAATCAGTGGAACTATTATCTCCAGTGCAAAACATTCCATAATGTAATTACCGACATATATATATATATATTAAGCATGATACATGTTACAGTGCATACATTATCGTTAACATTGTCATACAGTTATTAAAGATATAGACGTATGACATGGTTTTATATAAGGTTTTCTTTGGTGTTCGTGTAGAATTTAAGCCAGATTGATATTATAGACAGACAAAAAATTACGTACACAAAACATTGATTCCTATGTCCATAGTTACTGCTCTGTCCGAGACATTGTTATTGGCAAAACAGGTGTACAGTCCCGTGTCAAGACAGCCAGCAGTTGTCAGGTTATAAGTACTCTCTAGTACGTCCCGGTCGGTGGAAAGAAGACTGTTGTTGGCTTTGAAATACCACTTTATTGTAGACGGAGGGAAACTCTCTACAGCACAGATCAGTGCTTTAGGTCCCTTCTCAGTGACATCAGCGCCCCCTTTTGTGTAATTAAGACTGATAATTCGAGGCGGAACTACAATGCAAGAGAATAAAAAAACGAAAGCATTGTATAACGTTTTATGCCTATCAATTGCCGAATCATTTTGAAAGGAACAGAAACAAGAAATCCCAGAGGAATCTTGGCGTCCACCATTATATCATCTTCATTTGAACTTAATTTTATACTGCTGTGTATACAAAAACTCAAAAAAAAGCATGCACAACTAAGGACCAAGTAAAACCAATATATCAAAGTATTTTGGAGAATAAGCAAAAACAAACAGTCATTTTGTTTATCCAATCAGTCTCAATTTATCACAACTGAACAACTACAGACCATGGGGAACATACGTATCAAATCTAAGAAAGATCCCTCAAGTACTTTCTGAGAAATAGTGATCACAAGTATTCAATATCGAAATCAAAGATGGCTGCTTGTCAGCCATTTTGTGTATCCGATCAGTCTCAAAAGTAAACATGCACAACTACAGACCAAGGGAAACCTACAAATCAAATTTGACGGACGACGGACCACGAACATTGGACCACGGACGGACCACGGACCACGGAACGGACGAAGGGCCTTTTAAATAACCAATCACCAGGCAGCATATTTTAAATGTAATTTTAGTTTTTTGTTGTTTACTTTATATAATAACAATAATAATAATTCGAGGTTCTTATATACCGCTTTATCACGACCTAGTTCGTAGGTCGTCTCAAAGGGGGTCACAAATTATTAACCGTGGTTATAGGGCCTTTGCAACCAGTCAATATCTTTCTCAACTCCCTGGGGAGCATACAGCCGGATCTGCCATTTCGGCGTTAACAGCTAGCATTCAACAATTCTAGCACTGTCCAACAACGTACTCATGCACAGCTGAATAGACTGGAACAAGCGGGGTAAAGCATCTTTCTCAAAGATACAACACCTTGCCGTGCCGTGGCGCGAATCCGCAACCCTTCGGTCACTAGCCCGGCGTCCTACCACTAGACTACCGTGCCTCATATTATTAAATTTTCTGACGCGTCATTGCGAAATAATAATGTATTTACGCAGTGCGCAGGCTCAGCTAACATTCTACGGCAGTCATCGTTTTACTAGCTCAAGAAATGCAATGATGTTAAAGTAACTGCTCTAGCGACTGCATCTGTTGAAGGTATTGTCATGGCAAGCAATCGTATCAAGTTTCACAAAATTCTGTTAATGAATGAAGTTGCTAGAGCGATGACAAAGTTTATTTTTAAAAAGTAACAGTGACCTTGACCTTCAAAGTAGAAACCTGAAACGTGAACTTGTTCAAGGATTTGCTATACCTAACACCTGTATGACGTTTTAAGTAATTCCGTTGTGGAATGAAGTCGATAGATCGATGACAAGTTTGTTTTCTCTAAAAATAGTAACAGTGACCTTGACCTTAAACGCAGTCACCCAAAACGCAAACTTGTTCAAGGTATTGTCATACCAAACATTTGTATCACGTTTCATGAAATTCTGTTGAGGAATGAAGTCTAAAAAGTTTCTTAAAATAGTTACAGTGACCTTGACCTTGAAAGTAGAAACCTGAGACGTTAAGTTGTTCAAGGCATTGCCATACCAAACAGTTGTATGAAGTTTCATGAAGCATGAAGTTTTATCAGGCACGGTAGTCTCATGGTAGGACGCCGGTATCGTGACCGAAGGGTTGCGGGTTCGAGTCACGGCACGGCACTGTGTTGTTTCTTCTTATTATTATTATTACCATGACATTTTTATTTTTTTTAAATAGTAACAGTGTCCTAAACCTTCAACGCAGTTACCCAAAACGTGAACTTGTTCAACGTATTGTCATACTAAACACTTGCATTAAGTTTTCATGAAATTACGTAGAGAAATGAAGTGGCTAGAGTGTTGACAAAGAGTGTAACATATATGCATACGCACGAACGAGCAGAATCATATCGCCCCTCGAACTCTCGTTGCGAGGGGATAAACAGTCTTACATCTAACAATGAGGCTCCACATCTCCGTTTTACCGCTGACAGTATTGCTGGCTGTGCACGTGTACTGCCCGGCGTTGTCCCTCGTGGCCACAGACAGTCTCAACGGGTTAGAGAAGTTTTTGTCTGATTTAAACCAGGTGTAGCTACATGACGGTCTACAGTCAGCAGAGCAGTTGATATTGGGTAGTCTGATTTTCAACAATATCCACTACTTTTGATTGGGGTTGTAACACAACACTGTTCCCAGGTCCATCTGAAAAAGAAAACAACATATATTTATTATGTATGTACAATACAACAATACTAAAAATGCGCATTAATATGTAGCATAATATTGCGATCTGATTGGTAAACAGTTTTCGCAAAAGACCTATATTTATATTATTCAAAGATAAAGAGTAGATCCCAAGTAGAGAAAACTCCGAGGATAAATATTCAACAATCTGCGATCTAATTGTTGACGGTTTCTTCCCGATGATTTGTTAAAACATTACCGTACTTTTATGAAACTTTTGATGAATATTGATATTGTTCAAAGACAAAGGATGTGCTTCAAGTTGATCAAAGTCTCTGCATAAACAATAAGCATCCTTTTTTCCAACAAACTGAAATCCTGGTTAATACTAAAGACCAAAAAGAAATTAAGGCAAAGTTGTTTGAAGGTATTTAAAATTTACAAACTATTTTAAAATCTCTTCTTTTTTTAAACGGACACCGGTTTCCAAAAAATAAGAATGATAACAATTCAACCAAAAAATTAAGAATTGTAATAGTGAGGACTGCTACCTTTCCCATTATACCGAATAGCCAGCATACCGGTGCTTACATTGTACAGTAACACTGATGGTTGCAGTCGACTTTCCAATGATATTCTGTGTCTATTGGTAAAGTTATTTATTGACATATACAAACATACTTACACACTACAGTAACACTGACTGTTAAAGATGCCTCGCCGATAATATTTCTAGCCGTACATCTGTATGTCCCGTGTTCTGACCTGTTCAGTTGTCCCAGTGACAACACAGCGGAGGCAGTTAAGTTGGTGTCGTCAGGTTTTGTCCAGACAAAGGTACAGTCAGGTCTACAGTCAGCTGTACAGGTGATGTCCGATAACGTGTCCCTCTCAGTCCTGTTGTAGGTAGTGTCCGCTGGGGACAGGGATAGGGACCAGCTGTAAAAAGTATTCTTGTACGTGTTAGCAAATGTCACCTTTTAAAGCAAATGCTGATGTAAATACATTTTTTATTATTATTATTAACATATTACATGCCTAAGAACACCTGAATCTCCCAATAGGGGTCATCCTGTGAGGGGGTGATGACACGCTACAAAAAAAATCACATCTAAATTAACAAAAGCACGTGTGCCGTCACGGCATGACATATGTTATAAATAATAAATTGTATTTATCTTACAACAATTATGAAACAAGTTATTTCAACTTATATTAATCACTCTTGTTGGCACGGATGCTAGCGCGCGTGGAGGATTTATTTTTAAGAGGAAACGGGAGTACACGGAGAAACCCACGTGATCAGGCAGGTGACCCACCCATACCTTTTCACGTTCTACCGGGAAATCGAACCACGTCCGCCTTGGTGAAAGGCAAGTGCGCTATCCACTGCACCGTCCGACCTGTCTAAACATTTGTTGTGTCTTCTGGTATGATTTAGGACTTTTTTAAAATAAATAAAATAATTCTGTTCAAACATTTTGTTTTATTACATTCTCTCTTATCAAAATACTAATGTCCCTGTACATTGATGCATACTGGAAGCATGAACTCATCTAGAAGCTCCTCTATCTTTTTCTCCCTCTCATCTATATGCACTACATTGGGAATGTGACTGCTTGTAGATCGGAAACTGGAAAAAATAAATAAGAAAAAAACAAAAAAACAAAATATGGTTTAAATACAGGTATTTGTAATTTATATTGGTATAATATCTTGATACATTCAAATTTGTACAACTGCTACAATTTTTAAAGAAATCTCGCGATCGATATCGGGAAGCATTTTAATGCAGATTTTAGTAAATTGAAATGATCTTGATCTACCGTAGTCCGAGTTTCCTTTTGGCCCTAACACCAGACTTAGACATGTCTGGTGTGGGGCCAGAGCGCACTGCTATATGAAAACGTGGAATTATCCGATACCGTTTGGTATCGAGGAGTGACTAATCAACAAACAGACGCGTTCAGGAAATGTTCTAAAGGACTCACCAACTAAACCAGCCAATCAGCAAGTGTTTCATACGACTGTATTCCCTACCTAAAATGTGTTCCGATTTAATACAGTGCCTCTGAGTAATTGAAATAGGTAACTGTTGGCATATTTTGCATTGAATGAAATCCACATGTATTGAACGTTAGAAAACTTTAGTTGTAGTATAGTTTAAAATGAGATGGCGGATTGATATGGGGTCAAACTTCAGGGGGTGTTCACGACCCACTTTACCGGTTTGGCTTGTAAACTTCCGGTTGGCAATAGCAGACGGCGTTCGCTCAGGTGGGAAATTTTGAACGATAAAAAATCGAGGACCTTTCTGACAGAATTTAGCAGTTGTTGGTGATAATAAGAGCTGATTTGGATCAATAAATAATCGATATATCGGTATATTTGAGATACGTGTTGTGTGAAGAGTTTTTTTGTCAGCCCCTCATAACTCTCCGATACCTAGCTGCGATAACGTAGCTTTCTGACGACGAGAATTTTTTTTAATATGTTGCCAGGGCAGATGAGACTGGGTGTTTATATTAGTACTATCCTATTCCAAACGGTGTCGGCGAAATCCACGTTTTCATATATCAGTGCTATCTGGCCCCACACTAGACATCTATCTGTCAAAATGTCGAAGTCTGGTGTTAGGGCCAGAGGAAATTCGGGCTAGATCCACAGTTAATAAAGTAGTGTGCTCAGCATTTAAATTACTAAAAAACGGCTTTGCATTTATTACCCTGTCATCATATTTCGTGCAACCGTTAATCGTGTGTCTTTTGATTAGAACATGAAATTTGGTTTGAATTCGAGACCGATACGTCGAAAGTTTAAACCAAATTGCATGTTCTAATCGCCAGTATAGACAGAAAAAACAACGTACCATCCCCATACTAACACACCTTAACAAATATACTACGCTAATTTGTTTAGATACATTGTATTTCCTTGTATACAAGTACGTAGTAAAGTCCTACTTTATAACCTGAACTGGCGACGTGTCATTCTTCAGTGAACTGACCAATCGGAAAGAAGCTTTCAAAAGTCGGTCATTTGGCCCCGCCCATACTGGCGAGCGCTCGATCTGTATGTTGACGAGGAGGAATAGTTGGATTGTTCGTGGAGTCCTGTTAAGCATGATAATGTGAGTTGTAGGCAGAATGTTTAAACACATTGTTTGAGCTGATATGCCAATCCATGAAGGTTGTATTTGTATCTAACTTAAACATGTTTAACATGTAAGACATAGCAGGTTAGAGAGTGTCACGTCTCCCACAACTATAAGTATAAAATGAAGATTTTAGATTTTTCTTTTTAATAATTAAGATTATCCACGTGAAATGGTAAAATTTAATGTTTGTACTGATTATAAACGTTAGAAATTCCAGGTATCTACAGCAAAAGTGTCTTCCTCTTTATTGTCGCTGTTGACATGAAGTTTTGTAGCGTTTTCGACCATGTTTTCCTCGATGTTTTATTGATACCCTTATTTTGTTATTGTCAAATTTGAGGGTCAAGAGTGTGTGTTGTATTGTGTTCAGTGATGATTTAGTTGATGGAAATGATGTCATTTTCATGATGGACTTGTTGTTCTTGAGTCAATATTAGTGTTAAATCTGGTTGAATAACAAAAATTGCCATCACCAGGTATATTACATGCGAAATAGTTTTGATTTTGATTATAAATGGTTGCTGACGAACGCATACAATGTGTTAAACAAAAATAAAAGTGGTGAAAATATAATGTTTCTAATTATCCTTATTGATATTCTTAAAGCAGAGAAAGCTAATTTGTTCACTTCAATAGCTAATCAATATTCTGTAATGATTTACACATTTGAACGGAAGTACGAATTGTCAAGCGTTTAAAGTTTATATTTACTGTATTTAAGTATAAATAAAGATATGTAAGTGTACAAAATTGTACATATAATGTTTGTCATTTTTCAGTAAGTGTTAACTTTGTTGCATTAGATGAAACTAGATTCAATCTATTGTACAGGCAGATCTAGCATTGAAATTCAACAGTTTTAGATGTAAAATCTGAAGGTAATATCACAAAGGACTTCATATAGTTTGGGCCTTTTTTGGCCCACAAAGCCATCGAAATCAAAAATCTTCAATAGAACTTTCAAATGACTGTTTCTTTAATTTTGAATACTTCCTCGGTACTATTATGTACACAGTTATTTGTGTTTTTAATTATGGCTGCCATGGTACCCAGTTAATATTTGCAAAAATAATTAAATTTTAATATTCAGTCAGTTTTGACAGGTTTTCACCTAGTTTTTCTCTTAGCTACCTTAGTGGGTGTTACATATGAGGTTTTTTAGGCAGCTCCTTCGAAACACAAACACATTTTGGCATAACACCGAGAAAAGGCTTTATTACATCACTTGACACTACATAAATGGCATAGTCTAATATCGGGACCAACTATCCGGAATATCAAATACATAACAGAGCGCATTTCCAGGGGAAAAACTATGCAAAATATGAATATTCAAATTGTTCTAATTGATGCAAAATTTGAACTTGTTACCATGGCAACAAAAAATAGAAATACAAATAAATATTTTCATGATAGTATTTGGGAAGTATTCAAAGTTAAAGAAACAGTCGTTTGAAAGTTCATTTTAAGATTTTGAATTTTGATGCATTTGGGGGCCATAATTAACGCACCGAACCATTTATAGTTCTTTGGATCAAATATCAACAGAAACGACCCCCAAGTGGGAGAATTTAGAAGAACTGAATATAAAGCTGACGTTCTACGTACTGAAAAATCCGCAATTTGACTCATTGAAACACCTTACGTGTTCCCTTGGAAAGCTGCCGGGACAATTTTGTTGCATCATGTATATCTGTGTATAACTGGAGCAGACGACCCGTGAAATTTGACCTCATCAATGATCTGACCTTCTATAATCCAATGAGAACCACGCGACCTCGTAATTGACCCTGCTTCGTGCATACTCATGTATCCCCGTCCTAGTTGTAATTACCGCCGTGTGTTACGATCGATATTTAGTAATGTGTATGTTGCCAGTATCAAATTATCTATTTCTTTCCAAAACTATAGTTATTTTACCCCTCCGCAAGGGAGAATGGATGTTATCTCTGAGTCTTGAGAGGAAGATTTTTGAAATGTTTTCCTTTTGGGGTACTGCCAATTCCCCTCGGGTTGGGCAGGAATCCAAATTTTACAATTGTCTAGCCTCATCTACCAAGGATAATTCTGACCAAGTTTCGAAAAAAAACGCCGCCCACTGGTTCTCGAGAAGTCGAAATGTAAAAAGTTTACGCACGGCGGCACGACGGACCACTGACGGAAAGCGATCAGAATAGGTCATGTGAGCTGGTACATTCTATACAGGACAATGTTAACCCACAATTAGTCAAACATAAGTCGAAATGGAATCGGCCAAAATGTACCGACAGATGTTTAGAAAAATCAATAGCAGATCTCAAAAGTTAGGTGAAAATAAGATTAAAACATATTTATTATATAAGCAATGTACAGCTAAAATTAATGAGTGATGAGTCTGATAAATTATGTAATAAAGGAGGAAGACAAAAGTCGAGTGGTTTAGTAATGAACTTTCAGCATTATTATATTACTATAAACAGAGGCCCAGAGGGCCTGTATCGCTCACCTGAATATTTAAGCAGTCATAGCAAAATATTCTCATTAAATATCACTCGCAAACTTTGTCGGCTCCATCTGTTGAAACTTTCAGCCAAATATTATTATAAGATTTTATGCTTTTTGGTTCTTCTTCAGTTGTTTGACATATGTTTCCCTTTGACTTTCTACGTAGGTCAATGTCATTTTCCTGCTCAAACTTGTTAGATCTATCCCAAGAAGCTACCAGCCAAAACCTATGAATCTATTCCTTTTGGTTCTTCAGAACAAATTCTTTGAAATCAGTTTGACCTCTGTAAGTCATTTC